CCACAAAGTAACAGTCGAGCACAAGTGTGACTCGAGGACGTAACTTAGGCAAATTTCGCCACAAAGTAACAGCCGAGCACAAGCGTGACTCGAGGACATAACTTAAGCAAATTTCATCACAATATAAAAGCTTAGACACGAGCAAGTTTAAAGGTCGAAGTGAACATCTATTTAAAAGCTCATAAGCAAAAAACGAATAAAAATAAATCGACCAAGAAAGCCGGCGATGTTCAGAAATTACAGGCTATGGCACGACGGCCGAAAGAAATTTGTACGGGCACGCAGGCCCCAAAAATATGCACGGGCACGCATGCCCCAAAACAAATACCAGTAAACAGGCACGCAGGCCCGACCAAAAATTCCACGACTAAACTTCCCCAGGACTACCAGCATCCACAGCAGGAGACACAGGAGGAGGCACGACCTGGCCGTCAATGATCTGAGACATGAAACCCACTCCCTCGATATTCATTCCCGGATTCAATAAGGCGAGCTGGCTAACCGCGGCCTCAAATTCGTCCGCCAAGGCACCAACGCAGTCTGTTTCGAGGAGATGGATGTGTTCGACCAGATCCGAACGGCTCCGCAAGGAGGCTGTGTCCTCCGACTCACCTTCAGCAGGAAGCATGGAGGCCTTCAGCTCCTCGACTTCCTTAGACAGACGCTCGTTGTCAACCTCCAAGTGTTCCCGATCCAGTCGAAAATAGTCCCTCTCCTCAGCAAACTTCCCCGAGTTTTCCTTCTCCACGGCCAGCAGCTCGGCTTGTTCGCAGAACATCTCCTCAGATTGCTCCAGAGCAGCCTTCAACTTACGAGAGCCAGCAGCGATGGCAGCTTTCTCCGACTCTAGTTCCCTGACGCGGTCATAGGAGTCCGACCCATCCTCAGCAAGGACAACGGCCATCTCGGCCATCTTAACCATCCCGACCATACTGGCGGCCAGGTGTTTTCTATGACTTTCTTTGTTGAGCCGCCTGATGGTCTCATCCTCCTCGGTGCTCACTGTCAAGGGAAACCCCTTGAAGAAACCTTCCTCTTTAAAATAGGGGGGCAAGCCAAAGACCCTCACTGCGACAGACTCATTGCCGACTTCCGATTGGTTCTCTGCCCGGCTTCTCTTCCTCGTTATCAGCTCACTGGGCTGCTCGACGTCAGGGGAGCCCGGGGACCCGCTAGAAGCATCGCCTGAACTGGTCGGCGGGCCCATCCTCGTGGCCTATGGAGCTCGCACCAACCTTCTGTTTACTCTCTTCTCCTGAGTCAGTTTTAAAAGCATCTCCCTTTGTTCGGCCATATTGCCTGCAAAGAAGAAAACTCGGGTTAGTTACGAGCAAGTAACAAACAAAGAAACTGGAACAAAACTATAAGACAAAAAGCAACCTAGTAGATCCACGGCCTGCCCGTAGGACTGGCACTCGACAAGCCTTGGTATCTATAGGACAGGCCTCGAATGTCGGGTAACCTTCCTCGTCAAAAATGTCTTCCCCCTCCCTCGTGACCCACCAGGCAGGGAAGAAGCTGTCGACATACTTCCAAAGAGTACCATAGGCTTCCTCATCCTCGACACTCATCCCTCCCGCGGGAGTATGGTAGTGCCCGGTACCGTGCTCGTAATGGCGCGAGCACCAATGCAACGGGAACTTGGATACACGCCCCACCACCGGGCGACCCTCAGCGTCCATAAGAGGCTCCCTGTTCTCGTCGGCCACTGCGGTTTCCTCTTCATACATAGAATCCAAAGCAGTCTGGGTGACCGGCTGCAGGACGTACCACTTGTCCTTGAAACCCCAGACCGAATCCATGTACATCCTGAACAGCCTCTTCGACTGTTTCAGGGAAACCCAGCTATGCCTGCCTCCTCGAGACTGGCGCTGCAAGTGAAAAACTCGGAAGAAAAGAGGAATGGTCGCCCCGGTCCTCAAGAAGCGGCATGTCAACTCGAACGCCCGAAGAAAGGCGATCGAATTGGGATGACGCTGCGAGGGGGCCAAGTCCAGATGGTAGAATACCCCGACTTGGAAATCACTAAAAGGGAGTTTAAGGCCGAGATCCTTGAACGCGATTTCATACATTGGAAACCCATACTCGGAGAACTCCGAGCAGATTCGTGCGTCGAGGGACGGCCTTGTCACAACAAAGTTCTTCTGAAAGCCCGGCTGACTACCGCCGTGTTCGACGACAGTGTATACGCGCCGACTACGCCAACTATATGCCGAGGCAATCCCTCGGGGCTCGGCGCCCACCCAATCCAACGAAGGATCATCGACAGTATCAACTAGAGTTACATTCTCCTCGGCGCTCTGGTCCTCGACCTCATTACGCCCCGAAGACTCCGGTTCGTCAGCCATTTACCTGCAAAGCACAAGAAACCGGTGAAATTCGAGAGCAAGTCCATATGCTCGCCATAACTGACGGGAAGTAGTGCACGACAAGCCAAGACACACTCCGCGCGCGTTAAAACATTGAGGACTCGAACAAGATCCTGGTTTCGCCTCCCCGACGCTAAGGTGCCACGACGAGTTGTCCTACATACTTCCTAAGGGGCCAACATCCCGACTAGCCCATGGGTGCGCCGACCTAAACTATAAATATGACGAGCAATATCATGAATCCTAAACCTAGAACTATGGGTTTACTGGACAATATCATAGATTATGCGCCCAAAACTATGAAGGTCCCGGGCAGCATCGCGAGTCACATACCTAAAGCTATGCATTTATCGGGCACAAACATGAATGTATCGGGCACAAACATGAATGTACCGGGCACTAATCCCAGGTATGGGCCTCTAACATTCAAACAACGGTAAAATTACCTATAAACGAAGAAAAATATGAGGGATAAATGCTTACTTGGAAGTAAAGGAGAATGTACGGCAACGGTGAAGGAAATCAATGGAGGAAGAGGCGGTAATCTTGCGAAGTTGTAGAAGAACAGCGGCGACAAAGGCAGAGGAAGAAGGAGAAGCGCAAAGAGGAAAAACAAATTATGGGACCCAAGGATCCTATTTATAAGGATGACGTGGAATACGAAACGTCACCTCAGGGAACCACGAACTCCCCTCCTCGACGCCTACTCCCCTAGACAATGATGGCCCTACCGTCGCTAGGGTGGCGTCACGGTTCCCAAGGGTTGCCTCGTGTGCCCAACGAGCACAGCCCGCGAGGAATCCCCCGAGCACGCATCGACGAGGATTACGCCACGAACGCAACTCATGAGAAACTTCTCGAGCAATCGTGAGGAAGCAAATATCCTGGGTCGGGCACCAGACCCCGTGGCAAAGGCGAGCTGAAGTCAAGTCATAGCCCTTGCTCCAGAAGCCACGACTTGGGGGGCTCATGTTCTGGATTGGGCCCGCCCTGGCCCAAAAGCAAAGACAAAAGCCCAATCCAAGCAGCTCCTTGAGGAACGTGCGCTCGCGGATTTCCGCCGACGCGCCCGACCACAGACTGCAGTCGTGCCCGCCGTTGCCCGCGACACATGGTGTCCCCGACCACGGGAACTCCAGCTCGGGGCCAGCTCGAGCACCCTCCTCGTAGGGCAGATTCTGACAGTTACCAAATCATCTGAACTCCAGAAAGACCGCGTCTTCGTCCCTCCCCATTTCTCGGAGAGCATCACCAGGAAGGGGGCCACGTGCGGGTCCCCACTACACACGTAGAGCCTGGAAGTTCCTTTGTTGGGCCAAATCTGGTCGGCCTAATGAGGGGACCTTGGCCCCGCGCTGGGGGCTATAAATACCTTATGTTCCTAGAGGGTCAGGTATTCATCTCGTACGCATACATACACACTTTTTTGCCTGCTCATTCCGTCACTCATTTTAGCATCGGAGTGCCTTGCAGGTACCTCCCCCATCTCACTCAAATTCTACTCGGAGTCAGTCGTGACGGTTCAAGTCTGATCAGGTAAGATCAAAAATAAAAAATGAAAATGAAAAATGACAATTGTAATATAAAAGAGAAATATGAGAGGGCTTGTTGTTGCTCTTTAGAGGTCATGTATACTTTGAAATTTTAAAAGATTAACATAAGCAGTTTTAAAAACTTCATTTCATATTAAAACTAGTTTATTTTCTTATTCTAGGTTAGGTAATTAATCATTCCGTCAAAAAAAAGTTTGGTAGTTTAATTTTACAAAATTATTATAAAAACAATTTTTAAAAAGTATTCTCTATTTAAAAGTTTTAAAAACTAAAAAGTTAAAATATATTTTAGAGGTTTTTGATTTTGAGTTTTGTAAATTAAGATTAAAAAAACAAAAAAATATATATCTAAACTTTTTATTAATGACAAATTTTCAAGTTTAAAACAATTTTCAAAAAATTAGATTATCAAACATGTTTTCTTTTATTTTTTCTTCAAAACTCTTTAAAATTTACAAAATAATTTTTAAAAACTAAAAACTAAAACTGCCCTAATTTTCTCATGAAATTCTACAAAATAGTATTCAGGTTTGTTATAGTGAGCAGCTTCATAAAGACATTAGGCATTTAGCCCATCAAAACATTCTCGACGCATCAAATGGAGCTACAAGCTCGTTGTCATTTCGGCTACTAGAGCATACGATTTAAGCAAAGCTAGGAAGAAGGAACGCATGCACCACCAACTAAACACTATCATAGAACAAAATTACAGAACATCATAGAACAAGTTAATAATACTACATTAGAAGACCATGAAAAGTGTTTGACCTTTCCAAATGACTCTAATAGAAACAGAACGCGAAGAAAAAATCACATTTTTTATATAAATCAGAAACAAAACATGTGCGCAATGTTTAATGGTTGATAAATCATTACACTAAGCCTATGTTTGGTCGGGTGGTGGCTTGAATGCTGCCGCTCGTTTAGTGAGAAGCTTGAATGTCTAGCTTCAGTAAATCATGATCAAAAGAGCATTGGGACGCGATACAGTAAATCTGGACTCAACCAAACAGGCTATAAATATGTTTCCAACATTCAACACTTCGATAATGGCAGCTTTAGTTCCACTACCTCACCATTAGTACCCATAGTTTGCACCATAAACTGAGCCATAGCCTCCAGCATGTCCTGGATTGGAAGGAGGAGACGCGTATACAGAACCATGAGCAGGGTAAGAATTGTATCCTTGATCTGCAGCAGGCCCACCGGTTTGTTGCTGCGCTGGTGCGGCAGCGGCAGCCGCGGCCTCAGCCATAAAATTCTGCACCAAACATTCAGGATTACATTGCTATATTACAAGGCAAAAAATGATGTTAAGTTAAAGAGTTCTAACACCCAAAACATGCATCCAGTGAGATATCACCATATGGCAACAAAATGTGAAAAGAAAAATAATGCATGAAAATTGAAATGGAATAAGAGAAAAGATTGAAGATGATTTACCTGCATCAGAAATAACAGGGTAAATACGAACAAAATTACAAATTTATACTCGACTTATTATTCATAATACTAAGGGAAGAATAATTGTTTAATTTAGAAACTGGACAAACATGTCGTTTCCTCATCTCTATTTTTTATATAAAAGACGAATCTTGAAAAAACATTAGTGTAAAATGACTCTTTAGGTCTCTAATAAAATAAACAAGGCAATAATTTTTCACTGAATAATTTCATAGTATAAATCTAAAGCAAATTTCCAAGACATGCAGCATGATTTAGACTGAAAATTTTAAACTAAAGTGCCACTTCAGCATATAAAAAAATATTTTAGAATAAATGTCATTCTGTTTTTTAAATGCGACACTAATTAAGTTTTCTAACTCTACCCCCAAATTAACAGTCTGTACCTACCACGTCCGAGTCATTATGCTACACTATATATTTATAACAGTGACAAGGTTAATATGGACAATTTTGTATAATTACAATAATATTTTGTATTCAGTTACAGTTTCTTCCTAGTCTGGGAAAAAAACTTAGGATGGCACTAGTATTGGAACGAAGTGAGTAAATCAAAGGCCAAGATCGGGGGATTACCTGTATCAATTGCTGTGCTGTTTGAACTTGAGAAGCAGTACCACTGATTTCAACTGTCATCTCCCCAGGAACTCCTCTTGTTTCTTGTATGGTAACAGTGGCTCCGCTAGCTCTTCTGATATAGCTTATATTTGTTCCAGCCGTTCCAATAACAGCATCAGCATATGATAGAGGAATTTGCATTTGCTGTGTTATCTACACCACAATAGCAAGACAAATTATATTGATAAAAATGTATAAATTTATAATAGGAGCAAGAACTAAAACCATTCAAGACACATGCCCACATTCAAACTCCCATTTTGAAGCCTAACTTAAATTATTTGTCACCCATTACACCAATCACATCTAATTTCAATAACTGAAAATGACATTTAGATGGTATTAGACATGTTTTGTTTAGCTTTAACATTTCAGTTTAACATCCAAGTGTGCAAGCCAACATCAACTTTTGCTGTCTCAAAGCTAAGAGGAAAGTGGAAAGCAACAGCAAATGTCAATCAATATTCATAAATTCTACAACTAGCCTTTACCACAGCTATAGCACAAAATTCAAGATGTCCTCTCAACAAACCACAGAAACAACCAGACAAGCTGGCAAGTTGAAAGACATTCAGAAAAATGCAATACCAATATACCATTCCATACACCGTATTACTTCCTTTTGGGGATTTTACTAGAAAATAAATTTGAAATAAGAACAAGTACCTGAGTGACCATGGAAGGTGCGGACTGGGTATTGGAAGATGTGTGAACACCCACTGAAGCATCTCTTCCATAGGCGGATATACCATGATGGGGCTGTTTGTCTAATGGAAGCGGCATTTCAGCTGGTGGATAGTAATTATCAACTTGTCGCGGAGGTGGCATGAATTGAGTGGCTCCGAAACCAGGACCTCCCCCTGTATTTGGATGGAAACCTTGAGGTGGACCCCATGATTGGTGGGGTGGGGGCACTGGCATGTGTTCTATGTGATGGGTATTATTAGCCATTTGCATCTGGAGAAAGATCAAAATTAGTTTCATTTCTAGATACACATAAGATAGATTCTTCACTAGTGAAATCTGAATGCTTACATTCATTTCAAAAATTGGAATTATGCTGCGATCAACTAAAAATTTCTTAAGGTGGGATGCAATCATCTCTACTGCCTTGTGCACTCCAGTGGATTCCCCTACTACTTCAACCACTCTGTCATCTTGAAGAGCAAAAACAGGCAGGTCTTCTGAAGACAACAAAATAGAGGAGCATGATGCTAAGCAACTAGAGAATGTCAAACAGTCCAACCAAGGACCAAAATGGGAAGATTGAAAAAAACTTAAAATCTCCACAAATACTTTATTTAAAAGCATAAATTACAGAAGATTACAAGTAGGTTATTGGGTCCATAATTCAATCATGCTACTCCCTCAAATTGTATCTTAGAAATAATTTCTAATACAAAATGATAGACAAGAAAGATTTCAGACAGAGTTTAAAACTACTTGGATGAATTAAATTAGAATGTCAAAAATGAGAACATGACTATTTTCATGGCAACTGAATTAATCAATGATTAATTTTCTAACTTACTTAAGTGGTAAGTGATGCATATTTGAGTGCTTACAGGACACTCCATCCGTTTGTTTTTTAGTTTATGTTTCAAGGCTATTTACACATACATAGGCAATCAATAAATAATGTTATTTGTACATACAGCTCTAGTACCCAGTGGATGAGTCTCTATCTTAACTCTAATCAAAACCATTCTAAGAAAATTGTGTCCCAAAAACTATAACAAAATAACAGACTGCTCAAAAATAATAAAAATTTGAAAGTTTTTAAATGAAATATTAGAAGAAACCTGCTCCAAGAACTCTAACTATACAATTTGATGCTTCTTGGATAGATTTTACAGTTCCTCCTTGCTTCCCAATTAAGCTTCCAGCTTGTGAGGCTGGTACTAGTAGTTTTGTAGAAATCTTCACGGGCGCACCTGAAGGAGCATGGGCAGCATCACTTTCTGACCCATCAATTAACCGCTTATGAGCCCTCAATAAGCCATCTACAGCAGGAGGAAGAGCGGAACCAGGCTCATCTTTAGCTGATACCATTACCTAATCAAAAAGAACAGTTAACACTATCAGCCTACCTTTGCTCTTAACAATTCCTCCAATGTCTATATGTAACATGAAGACAGAATATGAGGACAAACAACAAAAGTTATCATTAACCAGCAATAACAAGCCATGGTAGCACTAAATACCAAGCATTTTACATGCTACCTACAATTTTAGGATCAGCAAGATGGTATGCAATGCAAGCAAGCAATTATGATTTTTAAAAATGTAACAATTAATTAGAAGATTCAGCAAAACAGCCAATACTCTCTTTCAACATATTTTCTTCCACAATTAATACCTATATTATCATAACCTGTCAGCAAAATTCCAGAAGGAATCCTTCACCGCTAGACAAGTTTTGTAACAGTCCTAAAGGCCGCATTATATTTAAGAGGAACAACTATTGCCACCTAATGAATCTACGTTACTATTTAATCTAGCCTCGTCCAAATGCAGTCTTTGAAAAGTAAAATGTCAAACTACTTTTGGTTAAGTACCAAATGCGGCGGCATGTTGGTGTCCAGATATATAACTGAAGCACAATTTAAATGAGATTTTAATAAGCATCTATTATCAAGAATAAAAAACATGGAGCTCTAAATTATAGTTGTGTGTCGTAACTTAGAAGATTTAAAATGTATATCACCAAGGATGTGTCTTCTAATTTTTTTATTGATCGAGTTTTGGTTCACTATAGTGCATTTGGTTGATTATATGAATAGTATTCCCAACATTTTCAACTGAAGAACTAGTGATAACATATAAATTTAAAAGACATATTCCAGGTGTTAAATTAAAATGAATTGATACCCTTTATTAATCTTCGAATCATTTTTTCTTTGATAACAGGTATGATAAACAAAATACTTAAGTTTTGGTATTTATTATTTTCAGTATTGTATCAGAGCTGGTAATAAACTTCTTTTCACTGATAGGAACCTTTGGCAAGACATCAATCATCCAGGTTTTGAATTTACCAGCTGGAATGCAGAGCTTCGTGGTGTGTTGATATAAAATGACTAAATGTTAATACACTTTCAGCACTTTGCAATGCTCAATGCTGACCCTGCACCTGGAACTTTGGTTCTTCAATAAATGGGATCTAATTGATGATTGAGTCGTTGCCTTTAAAAATGGAATATTGAACCTGCAAAGATTCATTTTCTGTTAGAATTAAATTCATATTTTGCGGATTCTCTCCATCATTCTTTTTCGATTTTTTTTCTTTGTTTTACTTTTTGAGTTCATTGTATTACATGGATAAGGTTGCACTTAGTTCAGACCATAAACAGCTATATTTTTAATTTTAACATTTTTTTACCGTGAGAATAGGATGTTGCAAATTAAGATTGCTTAATGAAAGACATCCAGAATCTATGAAACACGCACAATTACAATGGACAAGTACTATGAATTGCTCTATACACAAATTCCAATTCCTCCGAAAAGAATTAAAACTCTAATGGCTATTTTTCACTCTCCCAATAAATCCTAATTCTAATCTAAATATTTACAAGGACCCAAATTAAAGTGGTAAATACCTAATACATACATAAACATTTGCCACATTTGTTCTTATCACAGAAATTGAGACACTACACATCAGTGCGTACAATTTTTACTTATTTATTAAAGATGCACTCATCTAAGAAAAGTACAAGTATGGATAAAAGACAAAAGTTAAAAGATATACATGTGTGATCATTGTAAGTAATGAGTAGAGTAATTGCCGAGCTCCATAAAAAAATTGATAGCATGAATATTAGTGTGTTTTTGGTTTAGCTTTTAGAAGTGCCAAAAGCGATTTGAGAGGTATAGAATTGATTTTGAAATGATTTTAAGGTTTTTGGTTCTTCTAAAGTAGAATTGATTTCGCCTCTAGAATTGATTTTACTTGAAGCTAGAATTAGTAGCTTTTGATTTTTAAACTGAAATCTGTTATTCAACTCACAATTACATAAATGTATTCAAACATAAATCACTTTACATCCAACTCACTTTTAACCAGAATTAATGCACTCATAATCAATTCTTGTCATTGCAGAACCTTACTCTACTAGTCTAATTAATAACTCAGGCACAAAATTTTAAAAATACAATCTAACCTAATGAATCCTTTAAAAAAATAGTGGGTAAAAAAACACAAAAGGGCTTTTAATAAAACACATTTCAGATTAATGCTACCAAGATACAGATGCAGCTAACTAGTTAGCCATGCAGATAGATACAAACCAAACAGAGAAAGTTAGAATGCGATATAAAATACTCACAGCCCTTTCTGAAGTACCGGGAGGACCATCGAGAATCTTAACACGAGCGCGTGTGTCCTCAACAATTTTCTTAATAAACTCTCCTTTCCGTCCAATTATACCTCCAACCTTCTGAGCAGGAACCAACATTCTGAAGACACTCTCACCAGGCCACCCTGGCCATTTCTTCTCAGGCTCGGGCTCAGGCTCAGGCTCAACAACCGGCACATCAACCACCGTTTCATTCTGTTGTTCGGTCTCAACTATTTCCGGTGCCTCAAATTCGCCTGCGTTCTGATCAACTTCAGCCATAGAATTTCCACTGCAAAAAACAAAAAACAAAAACAATGAAATTAGATCTACAGAAGATTTATCGAGGAAAAGATACTGAAGAACGAGAAGTACTGAATCAGTGACTTAACAGTAGAATGAATACATGCATATACATAGAGAAAGAGTGTTGGTGGTAGAAATTACCTTACCTTGATTGCGGCGGGTAGAGGTACGAATCACGAGTTGGAATGATGGAATCTAGGGTTTTGGGTTGGGGAAACGGGAAAGAGAAAGAGAAAGAGAAAGAAAAAGAAAAAGGCAAGGGAGTGGAGTGGGAGTAATGAGAACTAAGCTTAGGATAATACTAGTAGATGATTGTGTGGGATAATGGGGAAGTATATCTATTTATTTTTTATTTTTTTAAATACCATTAAGTAAGCTAATTTAAAGATTTAAATAAAATTTTATTACAAAGTGTAAGAGAAAAAGGAAATAAGGACACTAAATATTTTAAGAAATATTCACTCCATAGTGATTTATGAATAAAAATAACTTTTTTTTTTACATTTCATAATTAATATATCTAATTTATATTGGATTAAATACATTAATTATTAAATATATGGAAAAAATATCGAAAATAAATTTATGAATTTTAAATATTACTTAAATATTTTTGTCAAAAAAGAGTTTAATTTTATAGTTTGGTGTGTCAAAATTTCACTTCAAATGGAAAAGAGAAAAATAAAGGTCAAGTGGAGAATGGATTAGGAGTTATACTTAAGTGCAATGGTTTTTTTCTAGGTAGAACAATGATAAGAGTTATATATTGTTCTGGACTGGGCCGGGCTGGTCCAAGAACAACGATAAAGGCCCAATCCAAACGGACTTGCTAGGGGCCACACCGACCCAAGGACCATAGCTATGCCCGACATACGTCAATGGGGCGATATCCTCGACCTCGTACTATCCAGCTCGACCTCAGCTCGAGCACTCCTCCGACAGCGGACACGGTCCACTGCACTCTCAACGGGACTCCGAAAAGACCGCGTCCTTGTCCGCCCGCACTTCACGCAGGACATCCAGGAAGAGGACCACGTGTGGGTCCCCACTACGCACGTAGAACCTGGCAGTTCTCCCATTGGGCCAAACCTGCCCGGCCCAATGAAGGAACCTTGGCCCAGTGTCGGGGGCTATAAATACCCTCTGTTTCCAGAGGGTCAGGTATTCATTCTATCACATATACTCACACTTTGCCTGCTCGTACTCTTACTTACTTCAGCATCGGAGTGCCTTGCAGGTACCCCCCCACCTCGTTCAAAACTTCAGCTCGGAGCCAGCCGTGACGGTCCAAGTCTGATCAAGACAGATCAGTGGCGCCGTCTGTGGGAAATAGCTTCCCCGTATTACAAAACTCAAAGACCAAAGCTCAAATTCAACTACCGCTGTCATGGCTGATCAAGCTCGTGATGAGCAGAACGTCCGCGTCGTCGATACTAACAACGGCACCGCGGACAAAAACGGACACCTTGATAACGCCGACAACCCCCGCCACAACACCATTCCTGCGACAACTGCCCCCGGAACTTCCACCTTTCGGGACGGAGCTACTGCATCATCTTCCTTGGTCCCTCCACCACTCGAAGACGACCCGGCGGCCCTCGCACACTACAGAGCTGCCCGGTTCCAGGAAGTCCCCGTCCCCGCCGGGGAGGATGCCACAACTCAAGCGTTGTTCGCAGCGATTAATCAAACGAACTATCTCATCTTCGCCCAAGGAGAGAGACTGAGGGCGCTTGAAGACGAGCGAAGACCCCCGAGGAGGCATCGGAGACCCAATACTCCCCCTCCTCGAGTGACTGAAGCTCGACACCCATCTCCCCCGCGAAGACATTATAGGGAGACCTCTCGAAGCCAATCTCCCCGGCCAAAAGAGAAACGGCCTCATCTGGAGAGGCCCCCTATCATTCAAGCCGGAGAACCTAGTCGTGACCCGGCGAGACAAGAAAGAAGGCACTCCGGAGACGGGCGTGTGAAATTCAGCCACCGAGCATCCCGCTCGAGAGAGACTCAGCACGACCTGGACCGTCATGCCAGACAGTATTACAGGTCCCCATCTCTGTCTCCGGAGAGAAGCGACGAGGACGACCCCCGCGGTCCCCTGTCTCAGGCTATTATGGAAGCACCCATCCCCCCGGGCATGGAGAAGCCCACATACTTAAAGGAATACGATGGAGTCGCGGACCCGATCGACCACATAGACGGGTTTGAGGTTATGCTTCATTATCACAATGTCGGGGGCCCCATCAAGTGTCGTTTATTCCCCACGACTCTCAGGAAGGCGACAATGGACTGGTACAAAGGACTCGCCCCAAGCTCAATCACCTCGTGGCGGAACCTGAAGAACCAGTTCATCAGTTCCTTCACAGCTTCTCGGCGGTATCCGAAGACCGAGGCGGCTCTCGAGGCCATCATCCAAAGACAGGATGAAACCTTGAGGGAGTTCATCAATCGCTTCAACCGTGAAGCCATACAGGTCTCCTGTGTAGACCACATGAAGAGGTATTTGCTGGAGAGAGGGCTCCTCCCCGACACGGAATTCAGAAAGGCCGTGGGTATCGAACCACCTCGGACATTCGATACCCTCCTCGAAAAAGCTCGGGCATACATGGACTACGAGGAGAGGGAAACAACCAACAGAGCCCGAGATCCCATGACTCGTGGTCCCAACAGAAGCTCGCGCCAAGAAGCTCCCCCTCGACGAACCGGGGAGAAAAGGAAAGAAGACAGACCCCGGGAAGTCCGAGAACAAAGAGGACCTTCGGGGCGGTTCACCGAGTACACTCCGCTCACAGCTTCCCGCGAGCGCATTCTGGCAGAGTGTGCCAGCACTGATTTCAAGGACGGCGGTGTCAAACGTCCCCGACCTGCTCCCGCCAAGCCCGGAGCAGACAAGAACAAATATTGTCAGTACCATAGGAGCCATGGTCATCTGACTGAGGATAGCGTCCACCTCAAGGACGCCATTGAAACCCTCATCAAGGGAGGGAGGCTCGCGCAATACCGGCGGAACGATGCTCCCCGTCGTGACGCCCAAGAAACTAGAGAGTCGGAGGAGGATGCCCGACCATCTGACGAGTCGGTCCCTATCCAAACCGCCTTCTCCGTGACCAGGCCCGAGGACTTCGACTTCCCCGAGCACCTGCAGGAGCCGCTCACAATGCACAGCAGGTGGGAATATTTCCCCTCCGCCCTGGTCATCAACGGCGACGGGTTCAACGACTTGACCATCAATTCAACCAAGAGGAAGTTGGACGAGTTGGTCGACGCGGCTCCCCCGCAAATAGTGATGTTCGAAAGGGTGAAGGGCAGGTCAGAGCCCATCACCTTCTACCTAGAAGAGCTCCCCGGCGGAGCCCCGAACGCGGTCATCCCCTTACTGATAAGGGCAAGAATGGCAAATTTTGATGTACATCGCATCCTGGTCGACGAAGGGAGCTCCGTTGACGTCATGTACAGCCAACTGTTTCGAACCCTACAGCTGGACGACTCACATCTCTCGCCGTATGTAGGGTCGGACTTACAAGGTTTCAACAGCTCGACCTCTAAACCTCGGGGATATGTCGAGCTTCTGGTTACGTTCGGCGAAGGGACGGCTACAAGACAAGTCAAAGTACGCTTCCTAGTCATCGACTGCCCGTCTCTGTACAACTGCATCTTGGGGAGACCGACACTGGCAGAGCTGACAGCGGTACCCTCGACCGTCCACCTGAAGATGAAGTTCTACACCAAGAGGGCACGAGTAGCTACTATCCAAGGAGACCTAGCCACTGCCCGCAGGTGCTTCAACGCCGCTTCTAAGGGACGTGATACTGTCGACATAGGGACCAGGCCCGCCAAAAGGACACGACAGGAGCCCGACAAGAAAGAGTCCCCCGAGAAAGAAGTCCAGAAAGCTCCACCAAAGGTCGATTCCATAGCTCTGGACACTCGCTTTGACCAGGACGAGCCATCCAACGGCGAGCAAATCCCACTCCGACCAATACCGGACGGGGATTTTGAGCTCGTCCCCCTCGGCACGGATCCGACCAAGGGAGTGAAGATTGGCAAAGACCTCCCCGACTTGGCCAGGAAGCAAATCAAGGCCTGCTTGCGCGAGAATGATGATCTGTTCGCCTGGAGCGCCGCGGAAATGCCCGGACTCGACCCTGAGGTCGCCTGTCACCACCTCGCCATAGATCCAACCGCTAGGGCCGTAGTACAACGTAGGCGTAGGCAGTCTCCAGAAAAAACGGAGGCTGCTGAAAAAGCTGTAAAAGACCTCCTAGAGGCAAATTTTATTTCTGAAGCCCGGTACTCCACCTGGTTGTCAAACGTTGTACTCGTTAAAAAGAATAATGGAAAATGGAGGATGTGTGTTGACTATACCGATCTCAACCGGGCTTGCCCGAAAGATGCTTTCCCTTTGCCTAACATTGACATGTTGGTCGACAACTCGGCCGGCTACAAAACATTGTCGTTCATGGATGCCTACTCGGGCTATAACCAAATTCCGATGGCCGTGAGCGACAAACACTGCACGACTTTCATGACCATCTCGGGCAACTATTACTAAAACGTAATGCCCTTCGGACTGAAAAACGCCGGAGCAACTTACCAGCGCATGATGAACAAAGTTTTCCACAAACAGATCGGCGACATGCTCGAGGTGTATATGGACGACATGATCGTCAAATCTCGGGCAGACACCGACCATGCAGCACACCTCAGAGCAGTCTTCGCCCAAGCAAGACAATGCAAAATGAGATTCAACCCCGAGAAGTGTACGTTCGGGGTCAAGGCAGGAAAATTCCTCGGATTCTACCTAACAGAACGAGGAATTAAAGCCAACCCCGACAAATGTCGTGTGTTCTCCGATCTCCCGACACCAACGTCGAAGAAGTCAATACAAATCATGAACGACATGCTCACCTCATTATCCCGCTTCGTTGCGAGGTCCGCTCAGCACGCCCTCCCCTTCTTCAAACTCCTTCGAAAGG